TTGTCCTCTAAAACAAATAGTCTGCACATTTTCCTTTTAATAAATTTCAAGAAATCTGAATGATCTAAAAGATATAAAAGGCTGAAAATGAATCATGTGACTGAAAAGAACCACTCTTTAATTTATGATATTAATTTTAAATTCTGTGTTGTATGTTTAAAAGGGCTGGCATTTTGATGTTAGCAATCTTTTAGTTAGGAATACCAGTTAACCTCTCAGAAAATATGCTTCACTGATAGAACAATCAATTTAATATCATAACTTCATTTATTTTATCTATGCTTTTATTATTTTCAACTTTCATGAATGGAAAGGCAATGAGATTGGCTAGTCCGACTGTAGAAAATGATCTTCCCCCAGGGCTAGGGTGGCGGCTCAGAGGAAAAGTGCTTGCCTAACATGCGTGAGGCAATGACTTCGATCACCAGCACCACATAAAAATTAAATAAAGGTATTGTGTCCACCTACAACTAAAGAATAAATGTAAAAAGAAAGAAAGAAAGAAAATGGTCTTCCCAAAGCTATGTTGACTGAATTCAAAAATGCTATCAAGATACTTGCTGTATAACAGAACTTGTTTTGCAAATGATGGTGGTGAAGCTCCTGGCATCTGTGTAGCTCTTATTGGTCACAGATGCATGGGGGGTAGCCCCAGGGACCTCCTCTGAGCATGATGGTTTGCTCAGGTAACAGTTTCTCTTTCAGTCCTCCATCCAGAACCTTGGTTTCTGTAGCAGCCCTCTACAGTAGTAGCAGCTTGGGTCAGTAGTAACAGCTTGGTGGTGGAGGGGGGAGACTGTGGTAACTCAGTTATTTCCATCTTCCACATCATTTTCTCTGAATGGACTGAAGAATTCAAAGTGCTTCACGAGGCACTGCAAGGCACCCTCAAAAAATGCTGCTGGCTTCTCCTGTGCCTTAATGCCAGCTCACATCCATTATGTGCTTATTGTGTGCCAGCAACAGGATAAGTATTTAAAGTCTCACGTAAATCTTCTGAGGTGGTGCTGTGTTTTTCTCCATTTTACACATGAGGAAATTATACCCTGGAGAAGCCACACCATTTGTCTAAGATTTTCTAGGTAATAAAGAATAGTACCTTAGAATTCTGAAACACAGTTGTTTTGTCTCTGATCAGCTCTGGCGGGTCATATCTTCAGAGCTAACCACACAGAAAGACTGGAAATGTACAAGTTTTGTCATTATTTTTCTCTCAGTAACATGCCACTACTTTGATTTTTCTAAACCTCTGTGTCTCTCGATAGCCCATAATATAGATATTTAGGAAATGGACCTTGATACCAAAATAAAGAGAAGTCCAAAGAAAAGTCCTTAGTGGTGATTTGGTTTAAAGCTAGATCTTGAGGGTCCTTTACTAGTATCATGGTCTGAGTGGCTTCCTTTCTGCCAAATTCATAAGTTGTAAGTTCTAACTTCCTAGTACCTCAGAAAATGTCTATAAAGATAGGGCCGTTAAAGAGGTGAATAAGGTAAAATGAGATTATCTGGGTGGAGTCAACCTAATCCAATATGACTAGTCTTTAATAGAAGCGATTAGGACACAGACTCACACAGGGTAAGACCATGCAAGACAGAAAGAAGACAATGATAGAAGAAAAAGTTGGCTACGATCTACATACTGTTGGGTCGGGCTCCAAATTCCTTAATAGGACACCCATAGCACAAGAGTTAATAACAAGAATCAACAAATGGGACTTACTTAAACTAAAAAGTTTTTTCTCAGCAAGAGAAACAATAAGAGAGGTAAATAGGGAGCCTACATCCTGGAAAGAAATTTTTACTCCTCACACTTCAGATAGAGCCCTAATATCCAGAGTATACAAAGAACTCAAAAAATTAAACAATAAGATAACAAATAACCCAATCAACAAATGGGCCAAGGACCTGAACAGACACTTCTCAGAGGAGGACATATAATCAATCAACAAATACATGAAAAAATGCTCACCATCTCTAGCAGTCAGAGAAATGCAAATCAAAACCACCCTAAGATACCATCTCACTCCAGTAAGATTGGCAGCCATTATGAAGTCAAACAACAACAAGTGCTGGCGAGGATGTGGGGAAAAGGGTACACTTGTACATTGCTGGTGGGACTGCAAATTGGTGCGGCCAATTTGGAAAGCAGTATGGAGATTCCTTGGAAACCTGGGGATGGAACCACCATTTGACCCAGCTATTCCCCTTCTTGGACTATTCCCTAAAGACCTTAAAAGAGCATATTATAGGGATACTGCTACAACGATGTTCATAGCAGCACAATTCACAATAGCAAGACTGTGGAACCAACCCAGATGTCCTTCAATAGATGAATAGATAAAAAAAATGTGGCATTTATACACAATGGAGTATTACTCTGTACTAAAAAATGACAAAATCATTGAATTTGCAGGAAAATGGATGGCACTAGAGCAGATTATGCTAAGTGAAGCTAGCCAATCCCTAAAAAACAAATGCCAAATGTCTTCTTTGATATAAGGAGAGCAACTAAGAACAGAATAGGGAGGAAGAGCATGAGAAGACGATCACCATTAAACAGGGACAAGAGCGGGGAGGGAAAGAGAGAGAGAAGGGAAATTGCATGGTAAAGGAAGGAGATCCTCATTGTTATACAAAATTACATATAAGAGAAAGTGAGGGTAAAGGGGAAAAGAAAACAAGAGAGAGAAATGAATTACAGTAGATGGGGTAGAGAGAGAAGATGGGAGTGGAGGGGAAGGGAGGGGAGAGGGGATAGTAGAGGATAGGAAAGGCAGCAGAATACAACATACACTAGTATGGCAGTATGTAAAAAAGTGGATGTGTAACCGATGTGAATCTGCAATATGTATACGGGGTAAAAATGGGAGTTCATAATCCGCTTGAATCAAATGTATGAAATATGTCAAGAGCTTTGTAATGTTTTGAACAACTAATAATAAAAAAATACTAAAAAAAAATTAAAAAAATAAAACTGAAAAAAAAAGAAGACAAGCCAGAGAGACCCTTTGAAGGAATCAGCCCTGCCAATCACTTGATCTTAGATTTCTAGCCCCCAGAAATGTGAGAAATTAAATATCTGTTATTGAGGCACTGAGTCTGTGATACTATGAAATGATAGCACTAGTAAACTAGTACAAGTGGATTTGCGTAATCTTTAGTGTCCAAATTAAGAGTGTTCATGATGATTCGATATCCCTGTTTAAAAATCAGAAATCTAGTCCAGAAGAACAGTTACAAGTTAAATCTAGTTAAGAAGCAATTCATTTCCCAAATTATTTTATTGTACTGAAATTTTATTGCCCTACATGGAACTTGACTAAGAGGTTTGGTGTGGGCCTTGGCATATTATTCAGTTAATCTTGACCAGGTTTATGGTAAGAGTATTGGCTCTGAAGGCAAATTGGAGAAACTTTTTGGATTTCTTCACACAACTATTTTGACACACTTACCTTGGAAAGAATAAACCTTTGCAGAGTCTCACCAAATTCACTTTGTATGAACAAATGCAGAAATTCCTGAGAAATTATGGCAATTCTGGCTGTTAAAATCAGAATAAAATATGTGCATGACCAGTGAAAAAAGAAAGAAAGAAATCAAGAATAAACTCAGTCTTATCCAAAAATATTCAAATATTGTCCATGAAAAAAAATCCTCTTTTACTTTCAATTCACTAAGTGTTTTTAAAGGGCGCACATGGTACTATAGAGAAATAGAATGAGAAGGTAACCCTGATTTCAATTATTCCTTGATAAGATATGAGAAAAAAAAAGATGCAGATACAAATAGCCATAATTTCATGTAGACATTGATTCAATCTATAATGGAAGTAAAAATTTAATGGAATCACAGAGGCCTGAGAAGGTAATTCAAGCTAAGGGCACTGGGCCTTTTGGTAGAGGTGCTGCTGGTGTTGGGTCTGGAGGTTGACAGGTGGAATTGCAGAGGGAGGAATGTTCGAGGCAGATGGATTAACACAAGGAAAAACAGATGTTGTTGAGTGCAAATCATGTTCAGTGAAAAAGTAGGAGTGTGTCATGCTTACATGAGGGGACACATTGAGAGGAAGAGCCGTTTGCCCCTGCATAGAGTCAAAGGACCTGGGTGTGAGTCCTGTGTTCACCATTTACTAGATTTATGACCTCAGTCTTCCTGAGTCTCAAATTCCTCATCTGTGGAAATCTCCAACTAGCAGAGCATGACATGCAATAAAACTTCAGTAACTGTTAGCTGAACTTAAATAGTTCAGACTTGATTCTGTAGGATATGGAAGCCAATATAAATTTTAAACCTGCAAATAAGATAACCAGAAATAGATATTTAAAAATTTATCTCAGCAATACTGTGTGTTGAATAAATTAGAGGGCAGCCACTGTCCAAGAGGGAAGACTGCTCAGGAGAGTGCTGCAATAGTGTAGCTTAGAGATAGAGAGAGCCCAAAGAAGGCTGGTGGGATGGAAAGGAGGTGATGGATGTGGGAGACTTTCCTGGGGAGCAAAACGGCACTGGGCTATACAACCTGGGACATGGCATGATGTGCAGAAAATCAGATTCTAGTCATATTTTTTTTCAAGCAATAACATAACCTCTAGGGCTAGCTACCTCTGCAGATTCTCTGTTTTTACATCTACAAAACATATTGAAAAATCCTGAGCACTAAAATATTTCAAGCATCTTTAGAATCAACAAGCCTTGTTAAATGAGTAGATAAAAAAGCAATGAACATATGGGAGATAAAAAAATTGAAATTAGCATGGAGAGAAAAGTTTTATGCATTATTGAGTCAACAATTAGAGGATGTCATTACTGATAATATAGAAGAGAGGAAAAGGAACAGGTTGGGTGATGATATGATAAATCTTGTTCCAATAAATGTTATTTTTGAAGGGCTGTCCTTTGATTAGACATGTGATTTTATGAATATTCAAAAATTAGTTATTTTAGACTATCTTATAGCATGTAAACATGCAATTTGGAAACAAATATCTTTTTCTTTATAGATTCTTTTCATTGGTGATTCAACCAACAGAGGGATCATGTACTATCTGATTGAAAGACTAAATGAAACGCTCCAGGAATGGCAGAAGGTGCATGGAACTAAATTGTATCCCAACGTCAATGGTGGGAAGACATTGGTTAGTTACTCCTACTATCCCCAGTTTTGGATAAGTCCTTCACTGAGACCAACGTTTGAGAAAGCACTTGAACATCTCCTGCAAAGGTACAATGGAACTATTATGAATGGCACAAGGCCACAATGTCCTGATGTTTTACTAGCAGTCATAATTGCTCACTGTATATCAAATGTGCTGAAAGGCTTAGATACTCAGTAATGTGGCTGAAAACGAGTTGCAAATGACAAGAAGGTCCTGTGATCAGGAAGCCAGACATGGTTCAATGAAATGTGAGGCAATGCAGTTAAAATGTTTACCATCTGTTTTAAAGCAACATGTGTTGTTTTTCTTTCTGGATTTCAGATCACGTCCCCTAGAGAATACTGGCCAGACTGTATTGGTTGTTGGTGGTGTTCAGTGGCTTAATTCCAACCACCTGCAAATTATTCACAAGGTTTTGAAAAGGTAAACTGCTGTGACAGTAATTGTCATTGATATTTAAAAATTTTTAAAAGGTGATATTGATAATGGCTAAGTTTTATCAAGACATTTACTTAAATAACACTTCATAATTTAAACTTAGATTTAAAGCCTGGTTTAAAATATTTCAAAATACTTTTATATCTAATCACAACAGGACTCTTCATTATTCAAATTTAAATTTGATACAGATCAAAACCTGTCCACTGATACCAAACTCAATCCACAAAATCCCCTAATACACATCAAATCTGTAAAATGGGAATTTGGTCCTGGATGCCAGTTATCTGATTCTCAAAGGATTCTGCTTGATTTTGGGGGGTAATTAACAAACACCTAAGCTGTAATTATAGTTTGTGACTTTGGAATTCTGATCATTTCATTCAGGGAAAATTTACTCAATATCCTAGTGATCATCAAAACTTTGGGAATTGGATTCCATCTGCCAGTGGACGGAGTGCATTTCTTAACACAGGTAAGCCCGTTTCTTCTTGGCTATGTGAACTTCATAATTCCGATTTTGATCCCTGTTGGAAAAGGTTCCAAAAAGGACACCTTCATGATGATCAAAAAAGATTATATACTTAGAGATTATAATTTCAAATCATTTATAATTATTCCTGGAAAAATGAAACCATAGCCCACAAATGTGTTGCAAATAATTTGCATTGAGTTTATAAAAGAAAAAGGGGTGGTGAACCATGCAAAATTAAGAACTAAGGCATATAAGAGAGAAACCTCTTCAAGTATCAGTTACCCATCAAGTTTTCATATGCCTTTCTAGGCTATATAAAAAGGCTTTCTTTTCTTCAGGTTCAGGCTAAGACCACAAATGAAATTGCCAATATCAAAGAGTCCTTTGGAAAGGAGTGGCTTTTTTGAAGACAATTGCTTTTTTTTTTTAATATCTTTGAAGTAGTATCATTGTTTTTTTCCCTATAGTTGGACATTCATGAATGAAAGGAGTTAGAGGCTTCTGACCAGAATAAGATAATAAATTCTTCTCACCACTGAATAGAAACTGCAGAACAAAAAAGAAAAACCACATCTGTAGGTCAGAGAACCAGCTGCTCTTGCTCAAGCGAGGAGAGTCCACCAGCAGCCCAAATCTGCAGACAATTGCACAGTCATGGTTCAGGGGCGTAGTGGGAAACTGGGCAGGCAGGAAACTGTCCATTTGATATGTAAGGAGTTAATATTTATTTTTGTGTCTGTGTGGAGTATACCTAGCTTTTCCCAGCACTGAGCACATTACCCCCTCTCTTTTCTGGAAACTTTATATCTTCTATGATACCAAAACGGGAGAACTGGTTGAAAGTGACTGATGTTAAACCTTCAAATTCAGCATCTTGAACTCAGCAAGGTTTAAGATAACTTAAAATGAGTTGAGCCATTTAAAAAAAAACTGAGGTCGCTGAAGGGATAACGTTTACTGGGGACCAGGAAAGGGGACTCTGATCATTTTTGGTGTGGGTTATGAATTGGAGCCCCTTTAATGTTATCTGAGGGCTTCCAGCTGAGATTGCAATTCCTTCTTGACTCTGGTAGCTCCACTGTGCTGCTTTGACTGCAGCTCCTTGGAGCAACTGGAGCATTCATGGCTCCTGCTTATATTTAGGTTATTAACTCACAATCCACTCATTCCAGCTAACATTTCTTCAACATTTGCTGTGTGCCAGACCCTGCATCAAAGACTTTGCCTGCCACCAGAGCTTTGCTGGTGCTCATCAGTCTTTTCCAACAGAGTAAGGACAAAAGGAAGGAAGGAGAAAAATAGTAATATGGTAGAAAGGGATAATAGCAAGTAAAGACAGAACATAAATCTCAACCCCCATCATATACAATTGCAAGACTGATAACTGCCCTCCTCTCTAGAATTATCCATTTTTTCCTTCGTTCCCAGAGCACATGCACACATATGCCTACACACACACACAGAAACACACACACACACACACACACACACACTGAGCTCAGTCAGGCTAAGCATGTGCTGCTTCTCAAGCACACCATGCTTTCAGGCCTTTGAAACCACTGTTCTCTTTTCTTGGATCCTACTCTCCCCACCCCTTCACCTGTGTCACCTCCATGCCCCCTCACTAGTTTAAGTGCTTCCTCTGGGAGGACTTTCTGGACACATTTGACTAGGTTATTTTCTCCTACCATGAGTGGCTAGAATAGTGTCTATGTCCTCACTCTTATCACCCAGCGCACACAAACCTTGGTTGTTCATCTTCCTGATGGGCTATAATCTGGGAATAGGGACATACATGGAGGTAAGGGGACCTTACATGGGTCACTCTGGTACCCCAAGTGCCAAACACGTTTCTCAACACATAGTGGACCCACAAAAATATGGCTTGTACACAAAAGAATGAGTGATTGTCTTAGTGATTTGGATGTCCCCAGATCACCCTTTCCCATTCATTCCTGTCCTAATGATGACTCCCATCTGAGTCCCAGCAGAAATTGTCTCTTGCTGCAGAGGCCCAACATGCCCATGCTGGAGTGCTGAGACTCAGTACCCTTTCTTGGCCTGGGCCACTAGGGTCATCTCCGCTCTAGAACTCCAGGTGGCATTAGCGAGAGCTTCTTTTGCTACTGCATTGCAATTCAACTCTTTACTCTGCCCAGTTCATCTTCCCTTGCTCCCTCATATGTGTTGATCCCCAAAGCACTGTCCTGTTAGCTCCCTGCATTCAAATATCTATTTCCCACAGAACTGGTCTTTCTCTAGAAAAATTTCTCTGGAAAATGTTTAAAGTTTCATGTACCTTTTGTAACTAGGTACATTAAAATGAGAGAATACTTGTAACTGGACAAGAAGCCTACACATGAAATTGAGAATATTGAATATCTTTTTTTTTTTTGGAGTTGGGAGATTACCAGGGATTGAACTCAGGGGCACTCAATGACTGAGTCACATCCCCAGCCCTATTTTGTATTTTATTTAGTGACAGGGTCTCACTGAGTTGCTTAGCCCCTCACTTTTGCTGAGGCTGGCTTTGAACTCACAATGCTCCTGCCTCAGCCTCCCAAGCTGCTGGGATTACAGGCGTGCGCCACTGTGCCTAGGGAACATCATTTTTATAGGATCATGAAGGCCCAGAGAAAATTTGCATGTCTCTTTCCTCCAGGGTGTTTCTTTTGAGCCTTTTCTATTTGCTACCTTTATTTTGAAGTAAACCCTCTTCTCGGTCATGTACAAATAAATATGCAAGTACAGTGAAAGCAGAAAATTTTATGTATCTGACTGCTTCTTTTACCTTGTAGTTGGATTAACAAATGGAAGCTATTATTTGTCTTTTTACCTATGAAATTATATTTGTCCTTTGAGAAAAGGAAAAGTGAGTGCAATACATTCCCTGTGTCAGTTTGGCTTCTCCAAGCACAGACAAGATTAACTGAAAAAGAGATAAACAAGGGGGATGCCTGATACAGGGTAAAAGATAAAGGGAGAGATGTGGGCGAAGGCAGGAGGCCCTTCAGACCACAGCATCCCAATGCATGTTACTGGATCCTGCACCAAATATCTTTTGAGTGCCTAGCATTCCCTGGGAACTGGACTGGACTGCAATGGGTCTGATATGAAAAGAGAGGAAGAAGGATGATTTCAGTAGAAAGCCTAGGATAGCAGGTCAGTTCTGAGAAACTTAGCCAAGCCACGACAAAGCCCTGAAGCCACAATGATTAGCAGAGTACACCTTAACTAGAACTCCCAGCCATGCTCAATCATTGCCAGGGACTTGGTGCCTGAGGGAGGGAGGAATCTGATCCACAGTAACAGCAGCTGGAGCCTTCACTCAAGTCTGCTGCTCCCCCAAGCACACACCTGTCTTCCAGGCAGCAAACCTCACTCAAGACTGCTCAGAACCTCCTCTTAAAGCCTCACCATCCAGCTCTCCCCTGGCCCTGACAGCTACTCCTTCCATCAGTGCAGAACCTGGCATATTTTCCTCTAAAATAAAGGACTTAATAGCTGTTTATGAATCTGTTTCTCTTATTAGAATGCAGTGTCTTAAGAACAGAAACCACAATTTATTTATCCTTGTATTCCTGACTTGCAGCTAGAAACTAAGCACAAAGCAGATGCCAATTAATGTGACTCAATAAATGAGAATCCAAATAGCTGAACCTAGCACTCATGATTCTTAAATGTCAGTTTTCAAATTGAAGTTTTAAAATATTTATTATAGGCAATACATTTAATTTCTTTCTGTGTAAGGGAAAGTTCAAAACTATGTGTCTCTATACATTTTTATGCAACACACACTCTCAAACAGTTATATTGATGTCTTGAGAGAAAAAAGGATAGAACATGTCTTTATTTAAAAAATGCATGTGAAATTCTTTATCGCACAATAGAACCGATTTCTGTTTTAAAAGATGGCATTTATATGGTTTCTGCTTGAGTTATGAAATCATAAAATAATCTACTGCTAATAAAAACCCTTATTCTTCCACTTTGAAATACAGAGTGAAGTACAAAATGTATGGAAAGAAAATATGATTATTCTGGATGCTGCAAAAAGTTATGGCTATGAAGTGGTTGACACATTCACTATAACCATGGGGCGATATAAAGAGTTTCTGCAGGGCAGTTGTGGATGTCATTTCCATGAGGTATTTATGCTGGCTTTCTAATTTTTATAGCTTTTTATTTGAAAGAAAAATTTGTACCTTTATTTTACATAGAAGAAAATTATATCAGAAGGAGATCAAGTGATGTGCTCATCCTCACTCAGGCAAGATTTGTAGTAATTACAAATTTGGCTATTTAAATTAGTTGTTACAGCACCACCAAAAAAAAAAGTTGTTAAAATTAGATGCTTAAAAACAAGGGTCATTGGTCAATGCATGTGGGAAGATAGGAACCTGGGAACCTGGAGAGGGCTTGCCTTCCCCAACACACTTCAAGCCCTCCCATCAGAAATCTCATCCAAAGGACATGGCAAAAATATTCAGCTTGGGAATCAAGTCTATTGAACGTGCTACACTAATTGAGTGTTTAACTAATGCATAGCAGAGAACTGTGGTTTGAATAATTTTTTTCTTCTGCCAATGTAATAATAATTCTGTCTCTAATTAGATATTAAGTAGGTTTAGCTGATAAGGTAACAACAAAGAATAAATATTTTCCCTCCCAACCTTTCAGATTCTTCTGTGTATTTCCTCCCTACTCCTTGAATAAAATCTTGGATAGATCCCATAGCTTTGAAAGGTTGCCAATCACTTTCATACATCAGTACTAAAATTGTCCAGTCCTATGTCATAACCACATCATTCCTCTCCCCCAGTTCAGGGCTGCCTGTCTCAAAAGCCTAAAGTAGTGGGGAGAATGCAAGAGTTTTCTCTCTTCCCCATTTTGCTTTGCTACACTTCTTTTCCTTGCTCTGTTGGCATCAAATCAGGTACAGAGAGTATGTTGAAGAAAGAAAGATGTTACTTGAGTGGTACAGGCATAATTCAGCAATAAGCTTTCTAGGTATAGCATGCTGCTTCTTCCTTTTTTAATGAGTGCTTTTGTGAATGTCCTTGAAAAGATCCCCCACTGGGACATTCTGTCTGCAGCTTTCTTGATAGAGGCAATACCCTCTCTTAGATTCCTTCTTTGGCCCCTTGGTAACTAACAGTCCACTCTGTTGGAGGTCACATTGCCCCTCCAGGCATCCTCTTGGAAGATATTCAACTTGGCACTAGGCTTGCTATACTTAATTACTCTCATTTGGTCTACAGAAGTATTCATGCATCCTTGTTCCACTGTTGCTGGAAATACAGTTAATTCCCAATAAAGTCTTCTCTTTTACTCTTGCGTGGCGCTCTCTCTCTCTCTCTCTCTCTCTCTCTCTCTCTCTCTCTCTCTCCTTAAAGTGAATCTACAGCAAGTATCTCATACTAGGTCTAATGCCCTGAAATTCCAATAGACATGTGTCCACCTCTCAAAGTTGGCCTTTTGAATGTCCTTCTCACTTGGTTTTAAGCTAGAAGGAAGCAACTTCCCGAAAGGGAAGAAAACCACAAGGCATTTGGAAAACTCACGTAAAAATCTCTCTCTTTCTTTTTTTTCGTCTCACAACTCTTTTGATGAGACAAGGGTTTATATAAATGGATTTTGCCCACACTTTTACAAGTCACGAATAGATTGTCCAGAGACTGTTTGGAATATAAAGTTTCCTGGCAAATGCTGTTTGGGTCCAGGTCTCAAGAGATTCAGCTGACAGATGTGAAGAGAGCCTCCATTTAACCTTCCCATCAGATACTGGGTCACTCATCCTTTCCATTTTGTCTCCTTTTGTTAACTGGAATACATCCCTTTGTGGGTTGACTAGGGAGAAAACAACTACAGATTCTTTCTGATCCTCTTTTCAGCTGTTAGCTGACTGTCACATTCCATCCTCATCCCCAGATTCTTACAAATACCTCAAAGCTATGGACACTGCCCTCGTCCTGTATGATTTACTGATGGATGCTTCTTAGTTTATTATGTGACCAACAGAACTGCATCTCAGAGAAGTGAGAGCCGGCAATTGAAGTAGAGAACCTGACAAGATAAATTTTGATCCGGCAGCTTGAAGCTTGACTGTGCTGCTGCAGAACATATTTTAAGTTGTAGGAGACTGTATGCCTACTAATTGCTTCTACAAGAAAATATACCACCCATAAAGTACTTATCCTATTTGCAAAAAAGTCAGGATTAGAAACACAAGTGTGTTAGTCTGGAAGAGCAAGAAACAATGAATTGTCAGCTGAGCCAGCCCAGGATCATAGTTGGTCACAAAAGCACATCCACAAAAATGGGGACTTTGAAAGACAATGTACAGATTATTTTTTCCCTCTTTTAGAAAAAAAAAGGTTTATTTATTTACGTTTATATAATGTGCTTTCAATTAGTTTTTGTTGAGGAGAGTGCTTTTGTTTTTGTTTTCAGCTTTAGGGCTCTTAAAGTCTAACAAGGAAATGTTCTCCAATGATTTCCAACAGGACTCCAAGTAAAATCAGAAAATGTCCTTTCTACATGGGGTTACACATATCTCCTGCCACAGTATCAACTGGTTTACACTAACAACCATGGAATGTGAAAACCCCCCAAAGACTCCTTGAACCATCAGCACTAGGATATTGATTTATAATTATTTCCAATAAAATCTATCCTAAATTAGCAAAATAATGATTTGAGCATGTCAGGTAAAATTGCTTCACTTGCCTCTTCTTAGCTCTGTCTCTAATGCATGCTGTTTTGATGGCAAGCCATTAGAGAAGCCCCCTCAAATTATCCCAACTGATTCCTGGTAGTGTCACCTACTTGTAAGTTTTCACGATTGAACTGAAATACACTCTGAAAGCATTTGCCTTTTCAGTTACGATATGGAGTTGATAAGATCATCTTTCTCTGTTGACTCCCTTCATCATTAAGTCTCCAAACGCGTTCATTGCTCAGGCATAATTGTTGCTTAACTCTTGGACAATTTGTACCACTTGTACTTCAGGAAGTCTCTAATGCTGACATTGATGTTTTATAATCTTTCTAAACCATCAGCCAGCATCTTAAATCACTATTAGCTTATTACAAGCAATCAAAAAAATCTAAAACCTCCTTATGAAGAATGGTTTGATGATGAATGCAGCAAGCCAGGAAGAAGTTGATTACAAATTTCATGCAAAACATATTGAAGGGCAAACATTCTGCTGATAGTCGTTTTTTGCTCTTTGCTCATTTTATGAGAGTGGTAAAAAAAAAAAAGTTTGCCATAAAATAATAACAAAATGAGAAACAGTTGTGTTAGAGCATAAGAATTTTGGCTTGGGGGCTGTGTCTTCTGGTGTTCAATTAAACCATTCCCACAATAGTTTCAAGAGTACCTAGGAATATGGGTATAATCATTACAGTAAGACCTTGACACTTCTTCTTTGCTTTGTGGACAGGATTCTACTACAGACATAACAAAACCTGCATCAGTAAACTTTTATTGCCATAGGTGACATTAAAGGTCTTGGAGTGTCGATTTATCTGTCAAGGCACCAAAAGAGAATATGTTGCCACCATGATTCTATAAACAATTTCCCAAGTGGTGTACCTCAACTTTGGCTAAAGAGTTCCTGTTGATTAGAAAAGCAGGTGTTTTTCTTTATGGGTGGAAATGGAATTTTGTTTTCCAGTGTTTGTGCAGGACAACAAACAGGATCCAGGTAGCTCTTGTCCAAGAGAGGTTTTGGACAGTGTTGTGTTATGTGAACAAGCTTGAGCCTGGCAAGTATTCAGAAATGTTATCAGCCCAAACCTGGTTGCCAAAGAGGCAAATTCACCAACAATTGTGGTGTGATTATTAATTAGTCTAATCAGTTGTACAGACTTTATACGATATCTTGTTTTCTGGCAGATGTTAACTAGAGCTTTGACTCAGTCAACAAAATCCATCTGGCATCACGAACCAACACTAATACCTGCAGGTTTTCTTTGATTTTGGCACAGCGGAAAGAATAAAAAAAAAAAGGAGTTTCAGTTCCTTGCTAGAGATGATTGCCCATTATTATTTAATCTTCATCTTATAATCTTTGTTATTTAATCTTAACTAAACAAAACATTATGTGGCCTAGAAATGTTTTTCTCCTTTAAACTTTAAAATTTTATATCTAAACACAATGGAGAAAAGAAAATCTTTAAAATTCATCTACCTGAAAAAAAAAAGATATTTAAGTAAAAACAAATGATCCACATATAATTAGCTGATATAGAAGATTCTAGAATTTAACTATTAGCATAGCTATTTTTAATAAATTTGTAATGACAGTTTACTTAACAGGTGTTTTTGAGTACCTACTCTATTTTACTATTGTTAGAAAATGAGCCAAGAGAATACCTTAAAGGATTCCCATAAACATTTCAAAAGCAGCATTTCCTAAAGGAAGAATTAATATTCCCTTTATATGTGTTCCCTTCTGCGTTGTGCTAACATACTCTTTGCACTGCCATTTACAAACTAAAGACACTCTTGACTTTTGTTTATTTTTCTTCAGTCCCCTAACAATCTTAACCAACCAGTTACCAAGTCCTGTTTACATTCTGGTCTTCAGAATCTTTCCCCTATACTCTGTTTCAGTTTCCATAATTTGTTTATTCTTTTAATCATCCAACATTTGTTTGTTGATTCCAGTTATTGAGCTAAATGGTAGTGAAGCAAAAATTAATAAGACACATTCTCTGTCCTCAATATATTGCTATCAAGGACTAAAGCATTTGGAAAAAAATATTATGAAACAATATTTTAGGTGACATGTATATATGAGACTATTGTGATCACACCAAGACACCTAGCCCAATCTGAAAACCATCTATGTTGGTTGTTGAAGGATGAACAGACCTTAGTCAAGTGATGGCAGAGGAAAGATGGTCCCAACTTCATGGGGTAATGTATAGCTCTGAAATACCCATTCCTCTCAGGTTATAAGAAACCAATCTGAATAGTATAGAGCTTCAGACTAAAGGGAACTGGAAAAAAAAAGTAGGCAAGATCCAGATCATGGTCAGAGCTTGGAATTTCATCCTGTAGGTGGTAGAGACCGATGAAAAGGTTTGAAAGAAAGGAGTGATTTTGTTTCAAAGGGGTGAGTCTAGGAATAGTGAT